GGTGAATTAGCAGATAAATAAACGTCAATTGGTTCAACTCTCAGAAAACGCTTTCTTCGGCATCGCTACCCTGAGACCCATGCAAACCGACCCAGCTAGTTTCCCGTACCTATACCGATCTTCCTTAGTTTGATCTGTGACGAGAACTCCCAGTAGCCATCATACACTGTCCTAAGGTAGAAACAGGTGTAGCAGGGATAACACCATTCCGACTGCGCTGATACAAGCAAAGGCGAGAGGAAAGAGCGGTGTTATATTGGCTCAGAATTTGTACGGAGAGCCTGAGGTAAAACAAGTAAATCTAAGAACTGATAACCCATGTTTCGGAGGATATATCGCCTCGATCTTCAGCAGAGCTTGCTTCCAACTTCATGTTGTTTTTCAGCTTGGCCTAATCCTATATCCTCAAGATGTAGGCGATATGTTCCTCCGAAACGTTGGTTCACTTTCACCGGGCTGATCGGCGTTATATCGCATAAGAGTTATATACCTAAGTATGGGTAGCTCTCACATTCTAATCGAAATGCATACAGTATTTTAACAGATGCAATATTCTCAAAATTTGTGAACAGTCATTTTAGTCCTAGCCCTCTTTCTGTTTAAAAGCAGGGTTAAAATAATATATAACTAACAACCAGAATTAGTTTTCGAAACAAACTCCGTGGCCTGTAGCCCGCAAACGAACTATACCGACCGAGCTATCGCCGCTTATCGGCGATGTTACTGCCAACTTTGGAGATAGAGGGTGTCACGTTGTAAGCGCAGCGGATACCCACGACCGTTAATCTCTGTTTTCTATACCGGAGCCTCTATATCCTTGAAACAGCTCCTCAATTATCCTCACGAGGCTGAGCGGACCCCTTTCCAAACACACTAATTCTCAGAAAGTCTTGTAGCGACGGGAATCGACCCTGGGTCCTCTGTATCTCTAGGCATGAACTCAGACCACTAGACGACAGAGGCGGTCAGAATTAGTTTTACCGGCCTGAAATGGAGACGAATTCAGACCTTGTTAAGAAAACCTAATTGTCCCATCGCTCAATGTTTGGTTGTTTGTTTTAATAAGAAAATAAGTGTATACGAGTACACATCTAAAGTTATTCCTTTATCTAAAACCCAATATTCTCATATTCAGACATGAAATGTGCATATATGGGGCAGTAGACAAGGCTCCAGGTATTGTGAATTGGACATTGCCACTGAGTAACATTCTTCCAACACAGTACATGTCTCGTTTTGTCTCCACAGACCTGTTGACACACCATGATACTTAGAGCACTGACACAACTAACTTAACTAAGCTCAACATACTTGCACCTTCTGGAACACCACTGCAGTTGTCGATCTGACTTTGCTGCTGACTAATATGAAGCCTCTTGGCACCTTTTTATGTAATCTGTAATCTGACATAAATTTGATGTATCACGATTGTACTGCATTACTACTTCTTCCTATCGGTGTAATATACATGAGTTTGCATTTCCTTCAACAGATAACAGGATCTAGTATCGGTATCTAGCATTCGCGCATGCGTAGATCTTATGCTTTCTCATCAGTGTTGTTGTTTTATCCTTTTAAGGACATGTAGTTCAAACATCATTATATTCATGCAAGTCATATGGTGACTGTGGAATTTGGATTTATCCTATCATATCAGTTACACTGAGAAACGGCCTCGCCATAGCTCAAGCAGTTAGTAGCTGGCTTCCCATCACGGCGGCCCGGGTTCGATCCTGGGTTTGGTCACGTGGGATTTGTTGTGGACAACGTTGCGTTGGAGCAGGTTTTCTCCGAGTACTTCAGTTTCCCCTGCCAGTATGTATGTGCAATAAGGCTTATTGTGCGATGGTCGCTGAATTTTGTATCTTTTGCCTTTTTCTTTAAGGCAATGATTGTCACTTCTGTAAAGTCCTTGGGCCACTCCCCAGTTTCATATAAAAAATACACTGAAAAAGTCTGCTTATTACTAATATTACACTGAATTGCATAATGTTAAGAAATGTCTTAAATTATAGAAATGTACGTACTATTGTGTTTAATATAATTGTCTATATCGTGAAGTTTTCACTCCAAGTATATAGAATTAAGTATTTTCGGGCAGCTTCCTCGTGTTCTGGTCACGGTCTAAGGCATGGAAGACGTACTGTCTTCACTCGCTCGACGCTGGGATCATTATTTCGAATCCCACTCAGGTCATGCATATTAGGTGTGTGTATGTGTATATTCTGTGTTAGTGTTGTCCTTTGTTTATGTACCGGCTCTGCGACGGGCTGATCACTCGCCCAAGGAGTCCTACCGACTGTGAAAATTGATTACGGAACTAAATAAAAGGCCTGGGACCTTAAGGGCAGGACGTGCCGTTGAAAAAAAAATAGCTAATTTTACGGGATGAAGTGTCCGACGTTTTAAACTGTGACGTCAGGAGCTGGCGATTGTCTGAAAACATTTTATTTATAAAATAGTCCATTATGTGAAATTCGACGTTTTCCCTGAGTAGGATCGTAGTATTAGGCCAATATAACATCTGCATGACTATAGAGGAGATATTTCATTTCATTGTCATCGTTATTTTTGTATCTTCCTTCATTTATACAGAGCGATTTGGCTCAAGAGGGAAGGATATAGACAAAATTGTCCTCTGTACCTAATTAATTAAGCACCACTCCACGAAGATGTATCGGTGAGTGGAAATAGAGCTCTCACCTTCTTCACCTCAGTACTTGATGGAGGGGAATATTCAGATTCACTCCCTGGCCTTTTCACCCATGGGAAAAGATCCGCCGGTGTACATTGGCTAGCAGGTCGGGTGGGCTCCTGCTCCTGTTTGACGTTGTGAAGTAGAGAAATAATTCTAGCCCCTACTGGGATTCGGACCCCTGATTTCCAGTCCATCGCTATAGTGATTGAGCTATCCAAACTCAAGAGGTATTGCTTCTAACTTGTATTTAGGACACGCCATAGCTCAAGTGGTTAGTCGCTAGCTTGCCACCGCGGCGGCAGGTGTTCGATCCCGGGTCTGGTCAAGTGGGATTTGTGGTGGAGAAAGTGGCGCTGGGGCAGGTTTTCTCCGAGTACTCTGGTTTCCCCTGCCAGTATTCATTCCACGAATTGCTCCACAATCACCCTCACCTATCGTGGGGCTGGTATAATAGGCCAGAAGTGGTCGCAGTACAAGGAAATTAGTCCCACCCCACTAGCAATAAAAAAAGCTGTATTTGGGAAATGGTCGGTTTGTTTTTCGTCCTGGACACCAAGTGACCTGACTGAGGTTTTCTCTGGTTTCTCTCGGTACTTCCAGGAGAGTAGTGCCTCACATTAGATCATGAATCCTTCCGTCCACATCCTTAACAATTCGTTATATCATCCTGTCATTGAACATGATACAGCATTGTTAAATAAACTTCAAACAAGAGCACTTCATTTCGTGGTTTGTTGTATACATTGTGCTGATAAGGACATGGAGTTCGTTATCAATTTCAGAATTGCTTATCGTAATATGGAATATTTCAATCCATTTATAGTTTCTTGAAATCTCCGTCGTCGTCATACTTTCTAACATGAGACAGACCTAGTGACATCTGTTATGGGAATTACAAAACAGAATCATTCCAACGTTGTAGTTTTTTTTCCCAGATGTTTTTCTTTCTTTTGCTTTTTATTTTGAATCTTTCGAATTGCGATCAGAGTTCATCGCATTTACGTATTGTTTCACATATTGATGTGCTGTTGCATAGAATCTCTTGTGTTTTGGACTCCTCAACACCCTGTTCTCAAACACCCTCAGTCTGTGTTTTACTCTTAATGTCAGAGACACTACAGACCCATAGGGAAAATTATACTTTTATACTGTATTATAATTTTTAAGTTTTAGACTGCAGAAGAGAAGACAAAAGCTTCTGGACTGAACGGTAGCAAACATTACCCGAGTTCAGTCTCCTCGTAATTTCCTCCTGAATCAGGTTTTAATTTCCTATAGTCGTTCCAAGATCTCTGAACTTTGCCACATTTTAAGAAAACCTGTTACTTATCTTTATTTCATTGGTTCCCCCTTCATTTTGCTGACCAGACAGAAACATATAATTAGTACAAATATAATGTTTTTGCACATTATCCATCGTCTTGTCTTTATTTAAAAACCGTCTTGTTTATTTTTCAAACATATTTCGGGGACAGTCTTCAGGTAAAACTTACTCAGTTTGGCCCAATCGATGGAGCTAGTCCCTCATCTTGAAAAAAAATGGTTTTAGAAAAAACAGGACAATGGATAATGCCAAAAACATAATATTTGTACTAATGTACCATCGTCACAAACTTTTAGATCTTATTAACATATGCTTAGTTTTCTCTGTGTTTACTTCTATGCTAATCTTCTTACTTGCGACAATTAAAGTT